TCAAAAACCGGTGATATGACACTTCTCATAGAAATTAAAAAACGAGTACATTTTAAGTCAAAAATACCTAGGACCACATTTACCACATCCGGGCATGTTCCGGGTACCCCCAGGAAAGTGTCCAGTTTCTGACTAGGGCCAAAGCTCAACACGCAACATCGTGTGAGAAATTTTTTGCAATTGAATTAATTTTTATTTGTAAGAAGGGTCACAGTTTGATGGTATTATTTCACTGGGAATCACTTTTCAAAACTTGATCAGTTCAAGGCTTTTTGTTGTTGTTGTTGTTGTTGTTGTTGTTGTTTATTATTGACATTTTACATCCTGCGGATGCATTCATGTCAGTTCAATTGATTTTTGTGTAAACAGTGTGTGGGTGTGTTCAGAGTGATGTGAGGGTGAGTGTTGGTGTTTACGATACAATTCAAAATTCACTTAGTTTTCTTATCGTTTGCTCGTTTCCTGGTTCATCGTCTGCATGCTCATCTCATGGTTTACACTTCTTCTCCATAAATTTCTTCTTTACTTCTTCTATATATATATTCACCATCTTCATTCTTCATGATCTTCCATATATCTTTTCCACATTATTTTTCGATTTCTCCGTTCCTTCCTTGCGCTTCATATTTATCTTCATTCTTCTGCATCTTCATAATCATTCATGTCTTCTGTAGTACTTTCGTTTTTTGCTTCATCTTCATCCTTTTTCACTTTATCTTCTTCGATTTCCATTCAGCATCTTCTTCATGAACTCATTTGCTTCCAACATTCATTTTCCTTTCCATTCTATCTTCGCCCTTCAAAGCTTCCGATAAAGTTTGGTTTCATGCAGAAACTTCAGCAACCGCTTCTCATAATCATCGTCGTTGCGTAACGCCGTAAAAAGGCTTGTGGAATCGATTCCGTATTTCGTCCTGGCCGCTTCAAATTTTCTGCAGTGCAGAATAATGTGACGAACGTCAACAACGGTCCCACAGCATTCACATGCTGGCGGAGCTGTTTTCTTCAGCAAAAATTCATGCGTAACCCTAGTATGACCAATGCGCAGACGAGTGAGTATGCGTTGATCGGCAGAGCTGTACTGATCGATCCACTTCTTCGTTTCCCTTTTGACCTCCTTCAGCTTCACATCTGTCAATTGTGCCCAACGTGCTTCCCATAGCTGACGAAAGACTTGGTTCATGTTCTTGATGGAATCAATTCTTGGTACGGCAACGTTGATTGGTGGACTGTTTCGTGCTTCACTGGCTAGACGGTCTGCTTCTTCGTTACCGCGAATTCCGGCATGACCAGGGATCCAACAAAGGTGGATCCACGGATGCTGCGATCTACCACTCTCTATGGCCGAAAGACAGCTGGCCGAATCAGACAGAATTATAACACATTCGGTTGATGCTCTTGCAGCGATGACGGCCGACTTGATTGCAAAGGCCTCCGCCGAAAAAACGCTACTTTGTGACGGAAGACCTATTGCTTGCTGAATGCTGCTACTAAATACACCTGCTCCAACTATGTTCTCGCATTTAGAACCATCCGTATAAATAGCCAAAGCACGGCTAAACCGGTTAGCCAGCAACTCCTGCACGATGGGACGCACTGTATTCGGAGGGTCCCCAGCTTTCACCTTCCGTTTCACATCCCAAACAATATGCGGCTTGGGTTCATACCACTCTCGGTTGGCTAGACGTGTTCGTACAGCGATGTTTGGAAGCTCTACATCAATCATCGCCAGGCGATCGGACGCTCGTTCCACAACTGGAAGATCGATATTCCTGGAATCCTTCTCCATCAAACGAATTGCAGCACGAATTATGGCTTGTATAATCATTAAATCGAATGGCAAAGTGCCTGCTTCAGCCATAATCGCTGGAATCGGACTGGTGACGTACGCCCCTGAGGCGAACCGGACCATCCGGTTGTAGATGGGTGCAAGAGTCTGCACCACCGAATCCTTCGCTCTACTGACGAGCCCGATACCGTAGATAAGTCGCGACGTGACGATTGCTGATCCGATACCCAACAGAGAATCGCGTTGCCCTCGCGGAAGTTTAGCCCCGATCATCTTCAAGATCCGCAGTCTAGAGTCGCACGTGTTTTTGACTACCTTGCAATGGTGTTTGAAGGACAGCGACCGGTCAAGGTTGACGCCAACAACTTTCAGTTGATTCGTCCTCGGTACAGCTGTACGGTCGATGAATATATCGTTGCTGGGTTCTCGACGGGCGTTGGGACTGCCGTAGAAATTTTTTGATTTTGTCGCGGAAATTGCGAAGCCGACGCTTTTCGCCCATTTGTCGACAGCTTTCACTGCAGCCTGTAGATCTCTATACAGAGGACGCTCCTTACTCCTCCGTACCACCAGCAAAATATCGTCCGCATAGAGAAGCACGGCAACAGTATGCGGCACCACTCTGAAAATCGGCTGCATCGCTATAAGGAATAACGTGACAGACAACACTGATCCTTGGGGGACTCCGTTCTCCAATGGCATTTCATCCGATAAATGTTCTTCCACGTTCACCCGGAAAGATCTGTCAGTGAGGAAACTGTTCAGTGCGTTGAACATGCGCCCACCCATCTGCCACTTACGCAGAGTACGCAAGATACCGTACCGCCAAGTGGTGTCGTACGCTTTCGACAAATCAAGCGATGCAATCAAGCAGTGTTCGTCCCGATTTGGCAATGACCTATCCAACTCCGCCAAGTATGTGTCGACGCCTCTTCCAGCTCTAAAGGCGTGCTGCCTCTTATCCAGTCGTCCATTCGACTCCAACTCAGTCGTCAATCTGCGGTTCACGATACGTTCGAACACCTTTGCGATGCAGTTGGTCAAAGTGATAGGTCGGAAAGCAGCAGGTCCAGATTCAGAACAGTTTGGCTTCGGAATCGGCACTATTATTCCGGTTCGCCAGCTGATAGGGTAAACGCCACTACGCCAGATTCTGTTTAGAAGCTGCAACAGCGCGATTTTGACGGATACAGGCAGACGTCGGATCATCGGATACCCTACCGAGTCAGGACCTGTAGAGACACTACGTCCTTTGTCGAGTGCCCACAGATGACCATCAGAAGCCAATTTTGTGGTAATTGCTCTGATAAAAACCGTGTACGAACGCTCACGAGATTAAAAAATGGCTGACCCCGAACTCAGGGAGAGAGTTGGTTTTGACTCGGATTTTGACGTTTGAAATAGGACGGTCAAAAAAAAAAAGCGACAGTTTGATCTATTTTGGCTTGATTTATTTAATTTTAACTTGTTCAAATGTGACATAAATTTGGATCTAGATCAGACCACCGCTAAAGCTGCCCTTACCGTCTTGTATTTATTTTCTGCAGGATGAGCAGCTACCAAACCGGCAATGTGGCATATAATAGATTGAGCCACTTTGGCCACGATATGGTAAAGCTTGGTGTTTGTGCAAACGTCAACTACCTGTGTTCGGCATTTTTTAGGTTAGAGTTTTGGGTTCGAGATTAAACTAGGTGATTATCGATATGAAAACGTGTAATCGAACCGAAACTATACGATTCGCGAACTAAAACGGAATAGAGAACGATACGTTTAACTACTTTGAATATTTATTTAAGATTTTAATCGAAAACAATCACGTGTGAGGGTAAATTATTCTGCTTTTAGTGACAGTTCGAGTTCATTTTCTTCTTTTGTTGACGAGCCAATGCAAACACCAAATTGACCAGTGGTGTCGGGCATGGCCACAATGCGTTCATCAGATATTTCAGTTTCGTTCATTCTTCTATTTATTCAGTTCCATTAATTATAAACCGAAATGAGTATCATGAAATAAACACAAGTCGTCTGCGCTGCACCAATAGCCTAGCAGTGAACGGATAGAGTGGATTACACAGCGATCGATGATTCTGAACAGACAGATTTCAACCGACTAGAAAGACTCGAGCGAGTTTCAGTAAAACCTAAACAATAGCCAATAAGACTAACAGAAAACCTAACGTTAATAAAGCAACCAAACAAGCTGAATGTTGAATGTCATAGGATTTAAAAATAACGAACACATAACCAACCACACTGTTAAGCAGCAATATAAAAAGCAACGCTGCGAATACATCAAATATAAATGTCTGTTTCAATGTGAACCTCAAGAAAGGGGAAAAAAAAAACACCTTGCACTTATAACCCCATTGAAATCGCAAACGTATTTTTGATATGCGTGTTTGTAGTGACCCTCTACTGAGACAACACTGAAGAAAGTACCATCATCACACATTCATTCCATCCATCGGCCTTTCACGATCGAATCAAATCTCATCAGACCACCTGCCAGGCAAACCGCCTGGAAAGAAGCCTTCGTCGTCGCCATCGTCGTTCATAACGATCACTTTCTCAGATGCTAGTCTGCAAAACAAGAATAACAAAACTAGTAACTTATTGTTGTATAAAATACATGTGTATGTGAACCGCATATTATATTACATGAAAGTGTTATACCTGTGTACATCCATTGATATTGAATAAGCAGAAACAGCCACTGGTGAAGACCTATTAAAAGTGAGTGTTGATAATCTTTTGTTCTGCAAATAAAACACTGTAAGCTGTAAAATCAAACAGAAACGCGAGTTCGCTTCGCTGTAAGATTGATTGAATCGATAATAAAGAAAAGTGCAACAACCAGATGTGTAACAAAATAAGCAGTAGCCTTTTTATTTAAAGGGTCTTTTTCCCCCATTAATATTCGACTATTTACAAATATTTGTGTCTTTGTTGTCGCTGTATTTTTTTTTAGTTGTATAAAAAAGAAATCCTTTGTTAATAGGTAAAAACAACATACAATCTTTCCTTGAAAAAAAATTTTGTGCTGCCTACAATCAGTAATGTAATCCTACGCTGAGTAAAAAAAAATGTCACGGTGCTCTGACGCTGTCATTCGAAAACAAAACTATTGCTGTTCTTCCAAAATTAAACTTTATCCATTGAGAACGATAAAGACTGAAGAATTTTCGGTAGGGGAAATAATTCGATCCAATTTTGCTTACTAAAACCAATTTTAAGTACTTTCTCACTTGCCCTAGCCAAATTGTTCCTACACCACCCCTTTTTTTTTGCTTCTAAAACCTAACGAAACTGAAAGTAGAGTCTCGGTTGTTCACAAACTTAGTCTAGTCTACTGACAGGAAAAGAATTGGAACAGAACACTACACAACAGTTACAAATAAATACACTGGCAGATAGTCAACAGCAACGAGAAAAACGGAACACAACCCTCGAGACAGAAAGTGAAATTCCAGGTTCGAAATGCCAAACCAACTCTTCTTCCAATGAAAATGTTCTCCAATGTCCTACCCTTGTCCTTGCTTTAGAATGCTTCCGCTTTCACGTTCGTCCTCGCTCACACACGATCCCTTCTAACAGCTAACAGCTAAAACAATCCCATTTCAAGTAGGTCCCGAAGTAGTCATCTCGCTCGCTCACTCCCACACAGAAATGGAAACACAGGCATCCTTCCTACGTACTATTTTTTTTGTTTACTGTATAGATTATTGCTGCTGAGCTTTATTGTCCGCTTGGGGTTCAAACTTTCATGCCCGTGTCCAGGTTGAGCGTCTGTTTCATCAGCTCGTACGTACTGAAGGATACCGCCACCATCGGGATCGCACGTAGGTAATTGATCGACATGCCCCGGTACAGGCCCCGCATGACGCCGTTCTCCTTGTAGATGATGGCCAGGGTGCGGAACATTCCCATGCTGGAAAAGAAGAAGACGATAAAAATAAGGGAGTTGCTTAACCAGGTAGTTATCAAACGTGTGAAGCTATTAGAGAGGGTCTAGTATAAAAGAGGAGCGGGTTCAAAACACACTGCCTTGCCAACCTTTGCCTAGGTGATTTCTAGCAACACTGCCAATGCAATCAAGATAGGCGCTGCTCGATTGGCTCTGGCTTTGACAGTTCGTTTGACTCAAGATCAGCCAGTCCGCTCCTCTCTTATACTAGACCCTCGCTAGTGAAGCTTTTTGCAATCAAACAAAAAGCAGCGCATTAAAGCATAGACTGCAGCCTGTCGGCGGAAGCATAATTGTTTCATGTGTTAAGTAAGTAAAAGTCACTTGAAATTTATAAAATTGAAAAATAGTTTCGGCAGAGAACCACACAAGAAAAGTTATTTAACGAAACAGCCGGTATCTCTAAACACTACAAAAATTAACGATTTGATTGATACAAGTTGTTAGGAACATCCCTCGCACTTTCGGTTCGATAGCTCAACTGGTATGTTAATAGAAAAATAGTAGTTATTTTCAAGAATACTATTTGTTGCTCTAAGTGGGACATAACGCGCCCCACGAATAGTAGTGTGGAAAGCATAACCATCAGGCGTGAACCTTTGTAATTCAATAGTGGAAGAACATGCATGTCACAGCCTAAATTTAGGGTTCCTTGCCTCGAAATCAGTATGCGCATTTTACTCACTCCGGTGGCAGAAACGTCATCCACGAACATTTTGCTTGAAGCCAAAGTTGTTGGTTCTTTGGCTCGATTATCTGCCAATCTAAGACAGCTGATGCAAACATTGAGAAATTATGCTCCGTCCACATAGATGTTTGATTTGTTGTGCGGCAAAATAATCGTGATAAATGTTCAACAAGTGCGTACATGTAGGAATTAAACATTGATTATAATAATTTATAAATTAGGCAAGCTAATCATGAAAAATTCAAGTTTCATTAATGATTATTCACATAAGATTTTTTAACGCATACGTGTCGTTAAAAGTGCTATTTGTCGTTTAATCGGCGCACACTACTGCACCTAAAAATCGAACGAGTGCGAGCAAGATGGAAACAGATTAGTGGGAAAACAAACCGTCCATTCATCCATGTGTGCTACTGTATTACCTGACTTATAACGAATATACGTTGTATACGAGTATCCCGAATACAACGTATGACTCGTCTAATTTTGCATAGCATTTTTAATGTAAAATTAGACGAAATATACGTTGTATTCGGGGTACTCGTATACAACGTATATTCGTTATAAGTCAGGTAACACACACGGAGATGAAAAACAACCCAAAATTAAGTACATTTCCCTCAATTCCGGGGTTCAGCCCAATAACCCAAATTTGAGTAAATCGCATATAGTAGTTTCCATTTAACACCAGCAAAAAAATTACCTACTCTTAAGTATATTCTACCCAAAATTAAGTTTAATTCACGCAAATTTAAGAATATGCAATTTACTCACAAGTAACTTATTGGGCTGAACTATATCGTTGGGTCGAATCTCTCGTTCCTTTTTTGACAACAATAACGAGTGCAAGTGAGAGGCTGAAGTCAATATTAAGTAAAAAGAACTCAAATTTTGGGTAGTATTTTTTCTCCGTGCAGTAGATAGAGAAAGACGATTAAACGTCAAAAAGGTCTATGCACATAGGGTTGATGCATATATTATGTCACGCTCTAAGGGGTGGGGGGGGGGGTTTTCTAAGATTTTGTGACAAGCGATGTATTAGGTATAGGAAAAACGTCCCGATAGGGGGGGGGGGTTAATTTTTTGCTCGATTTAGCGTGACATAATTAATGCATAGGCCCATATAAACATAGCATAAAAGCTGTAGGCTACAGTGTTAACGCCACCAATGGTGGTGGCTTCAGCAACCCTCCTTCTTGGCAGAGGATTGATAAAACAAGAATTTATCAATCTTCGTTAAGCACATCAATTTTCATATCACGCCAATAGTCTAATACAACATTTAGATGACATTGCACTCAATTTACGGCTTAAAATTTTATTCACATATTCAGAAAAAAACACAGAAACTTACTAATGAGTTTGAGAGTGCCCATAACTTCAGTTTGGGTCTTACTAGTTCTCAGCGTTCGGAAATTCATTCCCAAATCTCATTTATTGAGCCTCCTTGCGAATGCGACAATCAAAATTCACGGTTGAGACTGTCATGCATATTAACGCACCCATACTCACAACACCAAAAAATAATTCCAGCTTCAAAATCATAAAAAAAAACCACTCAAACGTCAATTGATATCATGAATACTTGTTAGTTATCTAACCACTGATGCACAAGCAATAGTAATAACAATGAATAACGCCAAAATATAAAGAAATGAATTTTTGAACCTGAAAATTCCGGGGGGGGGGGGGGCGACACATCTAAATCTCAAAATTAGATGCTCAACATATCTCACACTAGCGAATCAATCTTCGAAAAACATTTTTTCATTTGTCGCATCTACTTGCATCGCGCATCATCTTTTTGCAGGAAATCTTCAGAATCGTCATCAATCTTCTTTCTATCTACTCAGCGTGCGCGCAGCTAGCCACAGCAAAACACAATCTTTTCTGCATCGGAAAATTCATCGGTGGCAAAATACATAGGCGCATAAACTCATGCATGAGATTTGAATTTTTGAGTTGAACAACTGAGCCCTATTGAGATTCAAATTGCTCGAGAGTATCCGAATATTTCCTCTCGGGAAAATATGTTTTTTGATTCCTGGGGAACTGATTTACACGAAGTAAGAACTATAACTATAACATTTCTAAATATGAAAGCTATAGGTGATGGTGGATTTTTCACCATCCTCTTAAAAAAACTCCTAAGTAGAGAGTACACCTACTTGTCTTTCATGATAGAGTTATTTAACAAATATTTCCTGATAAATGGAAAAATGCAAAAGATGTTCCAATTTTGAAGCTGGATAAAAATCTAGCTGAAGCTTCTCGTTACCGTCCAACAAGTTTGCTTTCTTCAGTAATTAAACTTTGAGAAAAGGTAATTTTGAAAAGAATGGTGCTTCACATCAATACAAACATATTTTTTGCAGATGAGCAGTTTAGATTTCGCCATGGGCATTCAACTACTCATCAACTCTTAAGAGTTACCAATTTGATTCGAACAAACAAATTTGAAGGCTGCTCTCAACAGTATTTGGCATGAAGGTTTGACTGCCAAATTGAGATAAAGTTTAATTTTTCACCCTTTATCATGAAATTAGTTCAATATTAAATATAAAGTGAGAAGGATTAGTAATTACTATTTAATTCGCAGCCTAATTGCTTATCCTTGCGTATTTTGTCTACAATGTGCAGGCTTCTTCAGTGTCTTGTACTAATACTCGACTGAAGAAATAATTGCAACTTACCGAATATATATTTATTAATCTAGGTACATTTTCACTTAGGAGCTAGGGTAAGTTAGCCAGTTACGACAATTGTGCTTCAGTTTCTGGCCCTACTGTGTTACCTGACTTATAACGAATATACGTTGTATACGAGTACCCCGAATACAACGTATGACTCGTCTAATTTTGCATAGCATTTGCAATGTAAAATTAGACGAACGATACGTTGTATTCGGGGTGCTCGTATATTCGTTATAAGTCAGGTAACACAGTAGGGCCTAACTCAAATTTGGAATCAATGTTCATGGTTTCATTCGCGTAGACATATGACAAAATGTGTGTTCTAACCTTGCATGGAAATACATTTGATAGAAAAATTTAAAAATATTGAAAATTAGGGCCAATTAGGGAACCTCTTAGGCCAAAAACTGGCTCACTTACCCTAGGTAAACTTAGATCTAATTTTCTGTAGAAGCAGCTACTCCACTGCTTACTCGTTGATGGTAGTAACTTGATAAGCCAAGTGTTTCCGTTTCCTTGATTCGTGTTGAGTTTGTTGATCTCGAGGCTCTATGCAACAGCCAATTTCCATGGTACGGTTCCAATACGGTTCGATGTTCTCTGTCGTCAGTTGATGATCCTCGGTGCCTGCCACCTTTTGTTTAAAATCATATCGTAAGCTGTTTGGGCAACGCGCCACTTCCTTATTCATATAAGGAATATCCACCCAGAACTACAATTGGTTTGGTTTGTATCGTATCATATTGTTTCGCTATGTGTTTACCATCTGCCAAATATACCAATCGATTCCCAACCACCACCGTCGTGTTTAATCTCAATCTATACTGATCACAACGCAGTACAAAATGGGTCCTACCGTGCGCGATCAAAGGCCTTTTCCTCGTGCTTTTTGGCCTTATTAACCTCCGCTATATGTTCTTTAAATCTAGTTTTTTAAAGTAGCAAATTTATGTTTGATTCAGCCTAGATCGGATATCAAGATCGGGTCTGCTTGTTGCCTGTCTAACGTCGGTGTAAACGTTTGTTTTTGTAACCTGGCTCGGGTTGCGGTTCGCACTGACAATATGCTCGGGTTCGCACGGGTTGAAACTGGAACTGGATAATAAACAAATTCGCTATTAGTTTGGCCTACACAGAGTTGCGACCTATTACAATCACGATCGTCAAACAGCTGATGGTAGTAACGCTTGGTACATTCCTATCACTATGCTTGTCGAAGCACTCTCCATGACCATCCATCAAGTTGACGAAAGAAGTAAAAAGGAACTGGTGAATGTCGTCTTCGGTGGTGATCCATCACCGATCTGGTCATTCCCGACAATCATGACATTCATCTGTGCTCGTTTTGAAGCAGTTGCTGCTTTGCTTGCTTATGGGAGTGTGTTGGTGAGTGAACCCAACGGCTTCCGTTTCATGTTGCCTGCTTTGTTTGTAACTCACACAGTCGCGCCTGCCGAGACGAACTTGGAATGCGTAGGCAATGTTTTCATTTTCTTCTGTCGTTTCGCTTTTTCTCATGATCGTACTGCAGAAGTCTTCACTGTTGTCGTTGTGCTTTACATCATCAGTAGCGAGTGTTACGTTGTGCCTATGAGCAGTGACCATTAGCGTTGACGGCACCGTCGAAAAAATCGTCTCTTCAAGAAAAGATTGACAGTTTCTTATGGGATTTTTCGGCGGAGTGAAAGGATAGTACGAAGTCCGCCATGTTTCACGCACAGTCTGACGTTTGCTTATGGATTTTACCATAGGAGTAAAAAGCTACAGAGTCGCCGTCAACGCCAATTACTGGTGATTAATGTTTGCCATGGCTCCACCTCTCACTGCGTGACAAAATGTTCTGTTACCGATAGTCGGTTGATGCGTTGACAAATGTCGAGTGAGTGTCATGATGTTTTGCATCACTGGTCCTACATATACTTTGTTACAATGATTACAGCTTATTTTATATACACCTGCTTTACCTAAAACATTAACTGGGTCTTTAGTGGATCTTAACGGTGATTTAAACTGGTTATGTTTTAGTGTGATAATTTATTAGCTAGAGAATGGCCTTAAATGAGGGTAGGTAGGTAGTTCCATAGAGGTAGCTCTAAGACCAGAAGGTCCCGAGAAACATGTTCAACTTTTTGGCTCAGCTCTGGTACTATCTTTGGTCCCAAGCTAATCGATGCACCCCTCGAAACATAGGAAAATCCACGAACCCCTCATTTTATCTGTCAAACTTTCATAGCGAATCAAAACAAACATAGTATAGTACTAGTATTTCGACTAGAATGGGACACGTTAATCGATTTGCTTGGGACCAATAGACTAGTCAAGTAGTGAGCCAATTTAAAATCGTTAGTTGCCATCGGTTGGTAGTTCCGTTAGAGTACGGCAGTATGTAAATTGAATAGAAGTTGAAAATGAGCGAAGGGCCATTAATGCGACTGTGCAAGTCAAACGCACACTCTTTGCCTAACAGTACGTCTTGCACTGTCGCATTAATGGCCCTTCACTTATTTTCAACTTCTATTCAATTTTCATACTGCCGTACTCCAACGGAACTATCTACCTACCCTCTTCTAAGACCATTCTCTTGCTAATAAATTATCACACTAAAGCTTCGTGTTGGATAGCATTTCCAACCAACTCTAAAAATCGTAAACTTTGCGAATAAAGTAATAACCGTTTGAATGGTTATAGTGAAAACTAACCCGAACGTTTTCAACTGTGATTTTAGCTTGCTAGCAATATTTTGATCGAATGAAACGGGGTTCAGATGCTGCTGCGGTTATAAATAATCTCTTATGTAGCTTTGTATTTTCGGTCTCCCTTAGCTCAGTCGGTAAAGGCACGGCTACAAAGCAAGACCATGCTAGACGTGGCTGGGTTTAAATTCCCGGTCCGGTCGAGGGATTTTTCGGGTTGGAAAATTTCTCAACTTCTCTGGGCATAAAGTATGATTGTACTCGCCACACAATTATACTAGGGTAAATACTGGCTCCGGCATCCATTGACTGTTTTCGGCAACCAAAATGTAAACGTTGATTTCACTATGTTTTACAATCAACACACTTCCCTGAATGTATCCAAATGAATTTTTAGTCATTCAGCTTCAATCTTATCATATTTGATCGACCGAGCAATCCTGTTATGTCAGATTTTTCTTTAAATAAAGCATTTCGAGTTGCCGATCATAAAACAGCTGATTAACACGCAGTTCTAATGGGAAGTTTGCCGAAGAAAAAGAGGCTGCCAGCAATAGTTACAGTTCAAACAGTTTGAAGAATTCTGTCGATTGGAATGGATAGAGAAGCAAGCACCAGATGAATGTAATCAAACAGACACGTTTGATGCTGTAAATTCTCAAATTGAATTGTGCTGTAAATTCTAAATTGAACATTTTTGATGAAAATGAGAAAAGCTGCTATCCGCTATCAAAAGGGACCTCCTTCGAATGGCTTAGTCATTTGACGAAGGCATGGATCATTCTCATTTGAGAAACGCTTGATATCATTCAATTGAGTGTACCTACACATAAACGGAGCTCTGGTTGACATCCCGGCGAAAAAGCTAAGGCAACCCGACACCAACCAGACTTCTACCAAACCCCAACTAGATGTGACCCGACAATTGACCCGACAATTGACCCGACATAAACCCAATATTGACCCTACAACAACACGAAATTTTGTCGACATCGAACTTAAATTTGACTTACATTGATCCGACATCGGGTCGACTTGTCTGTTTGGGACCATTTTGCTGGGTTTCTTCCGTACTTCACTGTCGTATATCAAATGATAGTGAGTGACTCAATTGACAGTGACGATGAGCTTCGAATGAGAAAGGGGCTCTTCAAATTATGATCATGAGAGAATTCGTTTTCACAGAATTGATTGAATGGTTGTATTGGTTCATCTTCCATCGAATGATATGAAAATTAACAGCACTGATGCTAATAGAAGTACAAACGCTGCTTAGATTGACGAGAATACGTAAATTCCCCTAATACCCTAAAATGACACAGTCATCGAAAGCTCTCAATTAATAAACTGCGGAAGTGCATCTGGAACACTAAGTTGAGAGCACGCAATAAGTTAATATGCGATAAGCAATAACCTTGAAATGTTAAGAAGAAGAAGAAGAAGAAGAATGTTCCCTTCTTTATCCTAATTATCCGGGAATTCTACTCAGAACTACCTTATCTCTCCCCATAACCCCCTTGGAGTTCTCTTCAGAATCTTCTCGAATTATTTCTATGATTCTTTTGGGATTCTTGGATTAAGCAGAATTTTCTTTATGTTTCACCAGAAAACAGTAGGTTCTCAGAACTGCCTCAAAAGCAATCCCCTAGATTTTTCTGTAAGGTTTCCTCAAATCTTTATTTGAATACTCTTCAGAATTCAGAAGAAATTTTGCCTAGAGTTCCCTAGAGGTTGATCTAATTTTTTATAAAGAAATTCTCATCGAAGTTCTTTTGATAAATTCACGAATGAAGATTCTAGTTTTTAAGGATGTCTTCCATTTGGTGAATTTTCTCTTAAATTTTACAGATGAAATTAGGCAAGGTATTGGTTATGACAAACTTCAATTTGAAGTGAAAATTCACCAAATGGAACATAGCGTAAACCTAACCTTGAAAATAATCCAATAATTTTAATGTATGTTTGAAAATATGGGATCATGGGAAATTTTCAAAATTTGACATCAGAATCTTCGGTTTAGAATCTTGACATTTTTTAAGCTTGTCCTGGACAGTGTTCGGAAAAACTCAAAAACTCAAATTTAATGCGTGAGTATATTCGCCTATGAATTTTGCCAATTCAACTGCGCAAAAATCACCGAAGGAAAACTCTATTTTTTACATGTTGGCGTTATTAATTGTTATTACTATTGTGTGTGGATCAGAGGTTGGAAAACTAACATAACTTGCATAAAAGCATGCTATCAATTGACGTTTGAGGGGGGGGGGGGGGTTTATGTGTTTAAAGCTGGAATGATTTTCCGGTGTTGAGTGTGAGTGCGTGAATATGCATGATAATCTCAAGCGTTAAATTTTGTGTACCGCATTCGCACGTGAGATTATTTTCACAGGGAGGCTCAATGAATGAGATTTGAGAATGATTTCCCGAACACTAGGATTGTGGTCTTTTTGTTTCCGTTGCGTCTCGCTGTTTCGAAGATGTACTCAAGGGGTTGCTCACTCTACACATTGTGCCAAAATCAAACTTGGGCACACCCGGGCGCAGGCGTTGGCGCTGTTTGACACCCATGGCTACAAGTTTTATGATCTTTAAAGTTACTGGCAACACTGAACTTCTGCGCCTGCGCAGTGTGCATGTGTCATAATTTGTTATTGATGTTTCCACAATACAATCCAATTTTTACAAACCACAACCGTGAATCTCCATCAAGTCCCACCAGTGATTCTCGAAAATCGACTCCCGTGACTGGAGGAAAGTACGTCCCACGAGCGGTTCTGATCAACCTTGAGCCGGGAACTATGGATTCGGTCCTAGCGGGACCATTTGGACAGCTGTTCCGACCGAATAACTTCGTTTTCGGACAATCCGGTGCTGGTAACAACTGGGTCAAACGACACTACACCAAAAGTGCTGAACTGGTGGATTCTATGCTGGATGTTGTCCGTAAAGGCCGCCGCACAATGCATACGTTTTCGGGTTTTTTGACAGATAATGCATGGGCTAACTGTCAAAAAACCTGAAAACGTATCTATTGTGCGCCGGCCTTAAGGAATCTGAGGGTTGCGATTGTCGACAGGGCTTTCAGCTTACGCACTCGCTCAGCTGTGGAACTGGCCCAGGTAAATTTTAAATCTTTTGTAACGTTGGCGGAATTCAGTAGCAAAAATACATTCCTCTCCACAGGCGTGGGCACACTACAGATCTCGAAGAATCGAAAAGAATACCCGGATCGCATCATGAATCCTGTCTCCGTCGTTCCATCGCACAAAGTCTCTCCCACCGTCGTAGAGCCCTACATCGCTACGCTAAAGGGCGAACACGAAATTATTGCGACACCGAAAATGTCATGCCAATTTTCTTATAATGTTTAGAATCAAACCAAAATTTTAGGGTAGTTTTCCCAAGTAACAATCTAAATGCTTGGAAGATTTATTCTTATTTTATCATTGTTTTATCATAGCATCCCTTCCAGCCTGTGGTTGTATTACGATTTTGTGTGCTTGTCATAAAATCAGGCCGTCAAGTCGTCTATAAAACTGTTTTATGACTACTAAATTAAAACTCAGACTTCATAGTTTTAACGGTAGCTGTAAGGTGGTTCTGCATCACTACTTATAACTGAAGAATAAAACCAAAACAAAACATACAATTATGTTTTATGGTACACTTTTTATGACCGATATAAAACTTGAAGCAGTCTTAGACCTTCATTAAAGCTTCATTACAACTATCATCTTTATCAGAGGCCTAAGATTCACAGATAAGAAATATACTGCTACAACAAAAAATACTCTGAAATTTTTTGTCATTATAAAAAACAAATCTATTCAGATATATGAAATGAAAACCCCTTCAGTGCTTCTGAACACGATGAAGATGAGACGATCGACAATATGAAACTCCTGGAGGAACTACAGTTATACGATCCTTACATAAGGCACAGTGCGGTGAAGGAGCTCTTGAAAATATTGAACAAGCGGCTTTCCGATACACTTCCGAAAGATCCACGAACCCTTCTTAAAGCAACGCCGACAGTTTCACTAAATCCGTTTGGAGATGGCCAGTATTGACATCACGGCTTTAAACCTTGTATTGAAAAAGCTTTTAGTGGATCCAATAAACATTTCTTACATCTTGATTTGTAGCGAAAATAGGAGGATCGCTTGGAATGTTGACTTTTTGACAGGTGGTTTTGTTTTGATTCGCTGTACCGAATAAAACCAGCAAGCTAGTTATGTAGCTTAAATATAACTTAACGCTCTCAATTTGGACTACGAAATGCTAAGATACAACCATTAGGTTTATGTTATGCTATAGAATTCCAATCTAGGAGAATATGTTATATTGAGGTATTTTTAAGGAGTAGCAAGTTATAACGAAAAAAAATGTCGCCGTATGAACAAATTTCACACAGTATGAATAATTACGCTTTAATTGATAGGCAATAAAACACTTTCATACATCTATGTATAATTAAATAATATGTGACTGGTTATTGCTCAACAGTAGTAACAGTTTTGTACTAAATAGATAATCTTTGAATGACTCTTTAATGCATGGTGCTAATGCAGACAAATTAAAAATATCCCTATATTTTAGTATTCATATGGCGCACTAAATTTATGCTCCTATTTGGTATAATAATCACCATAAATATTGCACGGCATGCTGTGAAGCATATACAGATTGCTTTAAAATTATAATAAAGTCGTCTTATTTTCAATGTACAATAATATCAGCCATTATTACCAACTGACAAGGATCATGATTTCACATCAAACATCGAAAGAATAAAACCACAATAAAATATTTCTCAATATTAACTATCATCCAAAAACCCCAACTTAAAATCTTCAAAGTTGTCAAAATGTTTTGCGTATCATGTTTTATCAACTTCTTCAGGAGCGATTTATGCGGTTGTAATATAGTTTTATGGTAGTCATTAGAAGGCTGTTAAAACTTTCTGACCTGGAGGAGGTTTTATGTTTTCATTTTTAACAATCACGTCTAGAGTGTGATAAAACTGACATAAATCCTATGCTCCTAAAGTAGTTCGCATATCAAGTTTTAATGACTGCATTAAAACTGGGCCAATTGGCCATGACATGGCTGTATTGCGGTTCTCAGGGGATTGTTAAAGCAATGTGGTCGTCAGTGAAGGTTTTATAATTTGGTTATATCAACTGCTATAAAATTTAAATAAAACAAAAATTGTTGCTTGGGTTATATATATATTTACTTCAAAAATCAAAAGAAAAGTTAATCGATGGAGCCTTGAGTGTAAAATTGAACGCATTTTCGCTTGATGCCCTCCATCAAAGTCATTACAGTGTCATCCGGTACCAGTTTCTCAGTTTTTTTTTCCATTTTCTTAACATGTCCTTCTCGTCTTTGACTGTCTTCTTGCTCTTCCGAAGTTCCCGCTTCATTATTGCTCAGTACTGCTCCACCGGGCGCAGCTCCGGACAGTTTGGCGGATTCATGTCCTTTGGAACAAAATGGACAGAATTGGCCTCATACCACTCCAGGACACTTTTAGAATAGTGGCATGATGCCAAATCTGGCCAAAATAGCGGAGCTTCGTCGTGCTGCTGCAAGAACGGCAAAAGGCGCTTCTCGAGGCACTCAGATTTGTAGATCTCGCCATTTACTGTGCCCTTTGTCACGAAAGGCTCACTCCTCAGTCTGCAAGAGCAGATGGCCTGCCAAATGAGATATTTGGAGGCGAACTTCGACATTTTCTTCTTCTTAAATTTGTCGTCCACATCGAACTTGCTCTTGCCGGTGAAAAACTCCAACCCCGGAATTTGCTTAAAATCGGCTTTTATATACGTTTCGTCGTCCATCACACAACAGCCATATTTTGTCAGAATCTTCTCGTAGAGCTTCCGTGCCCGAGTTTTAGCCGTCGATTGTTGCCGCTCATCGCGGTTTGGGAAGTTCTGTACCTTGTATGTATGTAGTCCAGCTCTCTTCTTTGCAGTCTGGACGTAGCTCTGCGACATGCCGATCTTTTTAGCCAAATCACGGCTTGAGACGTTGGGATTTGCTTTAATCATCCGCTTCACCTTTCCCTCCGTCTTTTTGTTCTCCGGTCCCGGTTTTCATCCAGCTCCTTTGCCGTGGTCCAACGTCAACCGCTCCTGGAACCGCTTCAACACTCTGGAGACGGTTGAATGGTGAATGTTCAACATTTTTCCCAACTGCCGGTGCGACAGGTCAGGAAATTCCAGGTGTTGGGAAAGAATTTGTTCTCTCAACTCGCTTTGGTTCACCTCCATTTTCGTTGAATCGAAAAACACGACTTCGAGTTTGACAGCATGTACACAATACACATCAATGAGAAAGTGTGCAAAATTTGGTTGATTTTTACCCAATGGTAAAAAAGTTATGCCCTGTTGAATGTGTCACAATAATTTCGTGTTCGCCCTTTAAGTGTTTATCAGCTAGTGGAAAACACGACATTTGCTTCCGAACATTGAAGCTCACCACCCCTACCTATTGCGATTTTAATCATCTAGTCTCGGTTACGATGTCTGGCAATCAACCCCTTCATCCACATCCTCCAGAGATCGTTCATTGTTCGCATCTTTTGCCGTCCTCAAAAACTTCCGGAAATCGCCCAACCAACGCTCAATATAATTTAACACCTTGAATTTCACCTTCACCTCGCTTAGCATCGCTTCCACTTGCAGCCGGAACAGATTCGAGTGGTAGAAATATTCCGTTTCTTTCAACCGATTGATTTCCTCTACCGTCGGCGGTTGGTGTTCTACGTCTGATCGAGCCTTGGAATGGCTTTGCGCTTAGCGCCTTTCCATTCCGAAGATCCGACAGTCGTGACTAGAAAAAAGGGGCCCCCACTTTCTTGACCGCTGTCGCTTTCCGGCTCCAGCCGCCCAAAATCGTCGTCGTCAATTGAGTTCTTAGGTTTCGAAAAACAAAACAAAATCAAGAGTTGTCAAAATGCCGGGTTGCCAAACAATTCATTATTCACAAGCAAACAAAAGTCAGTTCAATTTCTTCTCGGCACTGCCGTGCCAGCTGCGGCACACTGAGGCTTACTGACAAAAAACCACCCCTTGGATGTACTGCAATCTCTTACCCTTTCTTGTGGAGTGCAAAAGTCTGCATCCGATGAATCATGTGATCGAAGGTGGCCATTTTTGTTGGAACGAATGGTTGGAAGTATGGGAGACAACTCTTTCGGTGCTTGTTGGTTTCTTATAAACTTCGTATTCAAAGGAAGATGATGACGATTCCCTGATGACAAGAAGGTCGAGAAATGCGAGTTTACCGTCTTTTCTACCTCGTGATTGAAACGTCATATCCTTATGAATTCTGCTGATCATATCTAAAAATTTGCTGCAGATTGCAACAAAGTTTGAATATTGTCTCTTCTTGTTTACAAAGATATGATGTGCGCAGTACTCAGTTTGCTATTAAATTTTAAAAAAAACGAAATGGTCATCATGTACAATAAAGGATAAAAACATACAAAAAATTGCCTACATAGGCATCATTTTTGCATAATTTTAACAAAAAAAAAGTTCATTTTAATTGTAAACCTACATGACTTATGCCCACATTGTGTAGCATTAATCCTTAAATCATTCAACTGAAATTAAGCTCAATGAACGTGTTCTCAACTTTTTATGGAGGAGTTTGAATGGTTTTTTCATTTTAGCATCGAACATCAATCCTTTCTTTCCTTTATTTAACGTCGGTCTCTGTTCCGCAATCTAGTGCCAATCACCGACGGACATCGATTGTCATCCATTGACGGTAATCGAATGTGCAGGAAGGCAGCTTCCACACCTGCGTAGGATATCGCACCCATTCAACACACATACACATGTGCCGGGACCAACGGCCAGAGACCAGAGATTTGTATGCCTCAGAAAAATCCCACCGACCTCGGCTGGGATTGAACCCAGACCCATCGGGGTGTTAGAAAGCAGTCACGCATACCACTACACCACCGCCGCCGGCTCGAACATCAATCCGTTCTAACTAATCTTCTCTTAGGGTAGAGCGCTACTTCGTCGTAATCGCCCATTTCCGTTCTATCAATCAGAAAAGATCAATAATATCAATGATTTCACCGTGCACAAATCAATAATAGGTTTGTTCCGATGCGTTAGATCATTAGCTACAACATAAATCCTGTTAGAGCGCATTGTATGAATATTTGCGCTCATTGTTCTCAAAACAAAAGAAGCGCTCCTAGCGAATCCCCTTTTTCTACGTTTATCCTTAGGACGAAGAAAATCTAATGGCGTTTCAATGCGTTAGGACGGAATTGAAACTCGTAGAACGAATTTAGAATCAAGAAGCAGTGTTAGATTTTAGACAATATCTCAACAATTTGTGACTATTTATCAAATCCAACGGTACGTATGGAAAGGTGAATAAATTTGCAAGTCATCTTTGACAGAAATATTCCTTTTTTTGTTTAAACTCGTTCAGAAAGAGAGGTAAAGCGCGGGTTGTGCTTAGTATGACGGAAATTAGATCAAAAACCCTATCATCTACCATCTCTACCAGAATCGAGCATATTGTTAAAAACTCATTTTCATCAAACCTTCATCTACTACTCACTCCAATCGACGGTTATAGGTTCGATTATCACATCATTTGCTAACTTCCAGCTGCCAGTTGCCAACTTTATTCTCGCCCAATATCATCATTATAAAGCAGACAGCTATTTGTTGCTATCATATCATCGGTGATTGATTACCAAACGGCAGTGGACCAGTATGCCAGCACGAGCCACCAAACCGGGCATAGCAGAGTGAAGGATTATGCTGAACTCTAGTTGGATGGGACGGGAATAAATTAGATTCCCTCGCAGCGCAGACACTCTTGGGAGGATTATCGCGAACTTGACATGGAATCAAACACGCGTCGTCACGTCAACGGGGAGTGCGAAGTTTGCCCAAAGGGTGTCACGTTAAAGCACAAACACCGAGTTGGTACTAAGCTTCAGAGAGAGAGAAAGACGATGACTACGATGACGATGTGAGTTGGATATCCATATTTCATGAACTAAGCGATAAGCTTGTCAATAAGGTGATGATCCATTGTGATCAGCCACATTGTTACGTATTGGCCTTAAATCTAGTGTAGAGACATTCCAATATTTTGCCTATGATGTTGATGTTTCAACACGGAAACCCTGTGAGTATCGTTCAAAATGGCACCGATGTAACTATTGACCAGGCCATATATCGCTAGGAACCAAATATTTGCGAACGCTAGTGGTCATTCGCTACACGTACCTAAACCAAGCCCTTCCTCGTATGTGCTTGAAAATTCAGCTGACGTACTCGACGCAACATCGATCGGTAATGTGAGCTCAACTGTATCAACAAAGGTGCACTTCTAGCTCACAGCTTTGATCGAGACGTGACAAGCTGTGTAAATCATCTCTATATGCATCCGGGTAAAGCTAATGCTGCAATTGGAATTTCCGTTTGTGCTGTGAATTCGGCCAACGATTAATTATTCACAGGTCCGAAGTAAACTCATCGCCGCAACCCTTCATTACATAATTAATTAGCCGTTTTATTGGATCACTGATCCGCCCATGAATGAACATAGCGAAAAACAAACGCGCGGCAATAGCATAATCGGATTGCTTATAATTTCCCTACATTAACTCTGATGTTGCTTTTCACAACCCCCCGAGCGTCATCAACTTGCTTTGCCACTTCACTCCCATTCACTCGCTCTTCCATGCCTAAACAAAATTGCCTACTCGATGTTGGGGGGACAAATCATAGCTGAAAGAAACTAAAATAGCAAATTAAATGCAGCACTTCAAGGCCGAACCAGCAAGCGCAAATTAAACTCTTAGCAGTACACAGCAGTAGCCACAAAAAAGCAATCGAACTCAAAGCATGCAACAACAATTAACCATTAAACTAACTAAAGCAAAATCGTCCAGTACCCACCTCCTGTGTGTTTCGGTTCGGTAAGGCAGCATCCAAGTGACCAGAGCAGAGTGCCGATTCATCCGTTGTTATTAGCAGCGCATCCATCCACCAGATGAAGCCAAAGAAAAAGTGCCCAGCACCCAGCAGCAGATTGGCAATGATGGTCGATGTCATCACCGGCATCATCGTCATCCATGTTCGGTGGTTAGTGGCCAATTGGGGCGTGAAGCGGTTGTTATTTACAGCAGTTACACAGTGTGGATATTTTTTGTTTTATGATTTAGGTAGTTGGTGTTAGTTTGCAGAAAAGAGTGAGTTAGGGTAGGGAGTAAGAGGAGGTACATCCCGCGAACCGAAGAAACAGTCGTTGCAACGTTATTTGAAGACCATCACCAGTAGTGCATGTAATTGTAAGAGATAAAAAAATAATAAGAAAAAGAAGATTATTAACTGTTGATTTAATAAATAGTTCATTTGTGAAATGTGGTTGTGCGAATGAAGTTCTAAAATGCAGTCTTATGAAGCATATTTTTTATGAAATTAAATACAGTCCAACGAGCATAGGATAATCCACCAGAAGTAATACAAACAAAATCGCTTGTCGACATTCGAAAGGGTGAATACTATTCTATATTATATGTAATATACATGTGTCTCATGAAGTTCCAAAAGTCGCTCATAGATGACTTTTATGAGAAATCTGAATTAAAAGAGATAGTTCTAAAAAAACTAAATTTTAATGTACACTAATTCAGATCTTAAAAAATGCCCTAAAATGAGAACGTTAAGAAATAGAAAAAAAATGTTTTTTAAAAAACGTGATAAGAATTGACATAGCTAAAATTTTACTGAGAAACATACCGTCTCTATTTCCAAAAATAAGGAAACACAAAAACTTCACCGAAGACACCAAACGTCAAAATATTAAAACAAAAGTATTACTAATTTTTTTAAATATGTCTCACGAAAATAATTTTGGAGAGACTTTTGAAGCTTCATGACATGCATGTTTTTTTATAGAATGAACGCCAGTATATATTTTTATAAAGAAATATATCGAGTTATATTTAAAAATAAGGCCTGTGCTGGGAAAAATTGCACCAGACAAAAGTGTTCGCCAAAAATTTATTTTAAGTCGGATTTTCTTGAAACTTTCAGGGAATGAACTAGGGGAAATGACGGCTTCGGCATGACAGACTATTTTCGGCAACCCAAATTGAAACACTATTTTCACTGGATTTTCTTACGAAAACACTTCGCTGAATGCATGCAAACGATTCTTTATGCTTTCAGCTTCAATTTGACTATATTTTTACGACTGAGAAAAAGCAATCTAGCAGGGTTTTCTTGAAATGAAACACACGCACTACAAATTGTAGCTGATTTCGAGTTGCCGATAATAGAACATCAGATTTACATGCAGTTCAAATGGAACGGTTGCCGAAGAAAAACTGATTGCCGACAATACTCGCTCTCACTAGAGAAGATTTGAGCTTTGTAAAAGCGTTTCAAAACAGTTTTTGACAATTCTTTCGACTGAAATTGTTAGAGCAGCTGGCAGCAAAAGATTGTAAACAAACCAATACTGCATATGTGAGCGTTCCATAGAGAAAAAGGCTATAGAAAGAAGGACGCTGCTTAGGTTGCTGAGAATACGTAAATTCCCCTAATACATATGGATTATAATTCGGCATAATTACTTTATTCAATTTCTTTTCCATCGCTGAAAGCCCGACATATGGCCTGCCAGAGGAAGTATTTTTTGGCGAATGTGTCCACTTTCTTCTTCCTTATGTCTTCCAGAACATCAAACCGCGATTTGGCAACGTAGAACTCCAGCCCCG